ACACACACACACAAAAAAAAAAACACCCCGAAGCGTTCGTTGGCCCTGAAACTATAGGTGCGAAGCTGTACCTCACCTAAACTCGCTCGGTGGTTGTCCAGGTTCAAACTCCGGAGCCCCAATGGCGCTAATGCGTCGCAACAGCTGTTGCATGACTTCATGCAATGCTACTGATGCTCGGCTTTGCAGTGGGGTAATCTTACATGATATGACTTGCGCACGGAATCGAATGGAGCAACTTGTGGCCTCCAATGAGACATCAGCCCTGGAGAGTACCAACAGCCACAGCCGAAAGGGGAAGTCATCTTGTCGAGGAGTCCAAGCGTCATAAAAGCCTCGCCTGTGCATTCAGCAAGATGGCGAAGCTAAGGCCCAGGCATATCTTCGTAGGCCGGCAAGTCAGAAGTTGTGAAAACGAAACGTGCGGGTGCCACACCGCCTCACCATCAGCTTGAGCGAGTCTTTGTTAAGCACCAGTAGGGGTGGAGGCCTTAGGGGAGCTTGCTTACACTGGGCTAATCTTGTTTCATCCTTGAAATTCAAAGGTCAGACTCAGCGTCTGGTCGCCTTTTCCTACCGTGCGAGGTGGAGCACAATTTGCATGGCATACTCTGCCTGTCAAGGTTGGTACATGCTCTCTTCAAGCAGAAGAAACCATGAGATTACATCGGATTTCGGTTTGGCTCGGGGCTCAAACAAAAGGGACAGCAGCACATGTATTTTGTCCAAGGCCAGGAAGCTTGCGAAAGAGCTTGGCCGCGATCACCGGTTGCGTTTCTGTAGCAAGCGACACGCTTTTCACTCGCTCGTTAGCGGCCGCCGCGTTGCTGGAGCATCTGTGGGCTCACCCGATGCTTCGTGATTACTTTCCTTGCTTCCTGCCCAGGCAGATCCAGGCACTTCCTCTTCTTTTTCAGCTGCGCCTTCTTTACAGTCTCCGTGCATTCCCCCTTCTGCATCTGTAGTAAGTAGTTTCGTCCGTCCCTGAAGCAGTATGTACTTCCACAAGAAGTATGTGGCAATCAGGCTTCATCTCCTGACCCTACGAATGAGCTGCACATTTCTGTAGCAAAAACAAACCGTCTGGGTCTCGCACATGCCATGTTTCCTTGACGCAAGGACGCAGTACCTGACACGGCATCGGGAGCATTCGAGAAGGCGGCATCGGATAATCACCACTGTGCTTCAGCTTCTGAGGATCGTGACCGTCCGCAGGATATCCCACCTGAAGTGGGTCTGTAACTGGAGGTGACCTGAGTTCGTACAGAGAAACTACGCAATCGCTGTCTGCGTCATGCATTGACTACTGGTATGACAGGACCAGCAGAGCTTCACGCTCAAAGTTCACATCGCAATTGGAATCATGGGAGTCAAAGACCTTGGCAGGCCAGGGCAGAAGAGACCACCCTGCTACAAGTGCATTGCATGTAAAATGCTTCCGAGGCTGCATCCACTATGTTGACGTATGGCGGTGTTGTGAAGACATCGTACGGAGGCCTTCAGCAGCCAGAGATCGAGGCAGCATGAAACCCACCGACCCCCAAACCCAACACCAATGCACAAGCAATCCACCCAACGTGCACGTACAGCCTCCGTAAAGGCATGAATTAACAGGTAAGGCTGATGCGCATTTAGCTGGAGCTGTCGCCCTGCCGCCTCCCCAGCTTTACATGCCACCAGACCTGAAACTTTTCTCGAGCAGGGGGCCTTTGCCTCTGCTTCCAGTCTGGACCTATGCTGTGCTTCTTGTAGGTCTTTGGCCTCGCTGCAGAAAGGATTGGTGGAATTTCGTGAATTTCGGAGTGCTGTAGTGGGCAAAAGCGCCTTCCAATACTCTTCTGCTGCCCGCCGATTGACGGCAGGGTCCGACCTCGCTTGGCTCTCCAGGAAGCCGCTCAGGAAACCCTTCTACGAGTTCTTGGTTCACTGGTCGTTTCGCCGGATGAGCCCAGCACGTCCGACTAGATCCGAACAAGTGCCTGTGCAGTCAACAGCTTACACCAGCAATGTCGTATGGTGCACAAGATGTGGGCCACTGAGGTGTGTGCGATGCCACACCCACCACATCACTGTCAGAAACTCCATAGGCTCCTTTCACTGGACACAGATTGCTTGCTTGACAGCGTGCAGACTTTGAGGCCATTTGAGGCCAGTGCGGTTCAAGTGTCCCTCGATAGCGAGCCAGCACAGGAAGAGCTTGCAGAGCCCTGCAAGCACAAGGCCGGCTGGGTCCCTTGTGGGATGTAAGATGCATGTATACTCATGCTGAAGGACTAGTTTGATGGACTGGCCGTGTTTGCGAAAGTTTACAGTAGATGGGTGTTCAATCGATTCGTGGGCCGACCTACTAGCAGGTCTTCGGCAGATTTCCAGCATGCCTTGTGGAGCTGGTCGTAGCAGCAGCTCATGATGAGCCATGCGTCGATGACTCCCACCTCGCAGGTGCAGTGCTGCGCACCCGAACTCTGTAACGAAGTCCTATGCGCACCTGGCCCGGCCCGAAGAGTCCGCTAGAGGATCTCTGTGGTCAAGGCCCTCGTTCACATTCGCAACACCACGGTTTCGCTGCGGAAGTGCGGCCGGGGCTTGTGCCAGCGCTGGCGAGCGCTTGCCGCTGCCTCTCCCTTCCCCTCATGGGTCTTCTACTTCGTCTCACATGAGCCAAGGAGCCCATCCACTCTCCAGTTTGCATGGTCGAAAGGGGACATGCCCGTAAGTGTGCCGTGACTCAAGGCAACTGTCAAAGGGATGCTCGCCAAGGTCTGGCGATGAAACATGCAATGATGTCTGTGATGTGACAAGCAACATCGAAATTTGCACTGTGCCGAACACTCCGACCCTGGCCGGAAAATAGCCTATGTCCACCCCAGCACGAAACCTACGAAGCCTCGCGCATGCCAAGGGGAGCTATGCACGTGACCAGACGACCAGACGAGCCGGACGCTAAGCTCTCGAAGGATGCACAGCACAAGAGGCTGTGAAGGCTCCAGAGCCCGACTCCGTCCCTCCTGGCCCTGGGCCCTCTTTTGTGTGTCTTGTCTTTCCACACTTAGCAGCAAGCTTCCTGAGAATTCCTAAACGGCAAGAAGTTCAGGAATGTCTTCTTTTTGGTTAGCGCGCACGAGTTTCTGCGTCGCCTCCAATGTACGACCGCAAAGCAAACTGAATGCGGCTATGGTACATGCACCTCTGGTGTCAACACAAGCCTAGGGCCTCAGGCCCTGGAGCTTTACAGCTTGCACTGGCATGTTGAGTATTCTTGCCAGCTCTACTTCCAACCTCTGGAGTTCCTTTGGATCTGGTGGTGGCCTTCCTTCGGGCATCTGCAGCCGTAAAGCCACGGGTGCTTGACCCTGGTTTTTGCTGTGGCAGCTATGGCTTGCCTCGTTTGAGAGCCGAGGGATTTCCGGGGCCGGTACTCGTGACACCGACACACGCGATGGAACGTCGTCGTCGGAGTCGTCTAGCCACGGATGCTTCGATCGCTGCGACCGGGTCTCACAGCCCGAGCCTGAGGCTTCGGCAAGCCTTCTGCTGACCATCTCCAGCGGAGAGCGGCTTTGCATGTCTTGCACGTGCGCGATTTTTGGCACAATTGAAGAAGGCTGCAAGGGCGAAGCCTTGGCTCTGTTGTCGGTTGCATCAACGGCCCGACTCTGAAGCAACGCCTCTACACGGGCTTTGGCTGCTGATGCCGAGCTCGGTCGAACCCGAGGCGACACATGCAAGGCCTCAGATTCTGACAACCCAAGGCTCCAGGCTCGGCACCAGCACACTGTCGCCACAATGTCCGACCAAGATAGCAGCGGAGCTTCTATGCGGGAAAGCTGCCAGAGAACATCGCCCCAGTTCATCGGCTTCACCACGGCTGGACGCCCTGACAATAAAGGTGTCGTCATCAGTGCGGCATACAGGTTCCCGCTGTTCTGCACTGCCTGCAAAAATCGCTCACGTGGTACATGCACCAAGTCACCTCCACAGCAATAGGTAAACTTCTCATACAGCCGGTACAGCATCTCTTCGTTGCAGCTGCACTCCTGCGCCAGCCACCTGAGCGCGGAGAGAGGGGGAAGGGTCATGGAGCAAGCAACAGGCGAGCGAGTTCAATCAGGGCAAAGAAACATGTCAGCATACCGGCCGAAGGGTCCTCATTGCATCTCCTTTTGTGTTTCCTTTGTGTCTCCTTTGTTTCCTTTGTGCCTTCTCTGTGTCTCCCCTTTTGTCTCCTCGGTGTCTCTTCGGTGATTCTTTTGAAACCATTCGAGTTTGTACACACGTATATGCTCAATGTGCAAAGACTGATGTCTGTGGGAGCGTTCTGCACGCTTGGATAAACAAATCAATGCAAATGCTTGTATCCACGGGTTAGACGGATAAGCAGCTAAATTGCTACACGGATAAGCGGTGTGAATGCATGGCCAAGCACAGGAACAACACGTCGCAAACGTCGAACCCTTTCTCCTTAGAACCTTCAAAGGTTTGGAATACTGTGCCGCCGGAAAGTTCACAAATGCTCAAGAATGCCGCGTAGGTTAGAAGCTCTTAAACCTTTAAACACCCAGAACCATACTCCCCAAACCCTCAGCTTGATCCTCATGCACCCACCGACTCCGCTGTTTGAAAGAAAGCGGTGGAAGTCTTCACTTGTCGCAAGCAAGCAAGCTTTGGAGATCTTTTGGGTACCCTTGTCGTCTTACCAGACACAACCCTCGACATCCCGAGAGTGGTCAAGGGAATGACCTGCTTTCGAGCTTTAACAAATCCTACGTTGCATGTTCTAGATTCTAACTCTCGACTCGCACGCTCGCACAAGCAGGCACGACTTCAAGACAATCCAGCACTCATGTCGAGGCACGCAAAGTCTAAAGATAAACTTGCAGGCACGGCTGACAGTCCGCCACGCAACCAAGCTTACAAGCAAATAAATTCGAATTGATAGAATGGTGACAATACTGAGGCCCGTTCTGGATAGAAGCGGCCGGCGAGTCATTCGGGTCTACTGGGCAGGTCCATGCAAGAGGCGAAGTCTTGACTGCAGGAATTGGACTCTGAGGTCGAACAGGGACAGCAGGGACAGGAAGAATCTGCCGCGTTGCTCGGTGCCTGTGTGCCTCGAGAAGCAGCCAGTAGAACCTGTCCCAGGATACCATCTCCAAATGTCCGATCCCGTCAAGTACTTGTGTTTCAACTTGGTGAAGGGCTTCGTCCAACGAGACTGCAGGACCACCGTCGTCCGTGGCAATCACCGGTCGATGCAGCAAACCTTCGGTTCTTATGCGCACGTCGCTACGAATAGCCAGAATAAGCTCCCTTGTCGAGACCTCCTTGTTCTGTTGCGCCAGTCTATAGAAGATTCGATTTAGACTTTCCCATGCCTGTGCACCTAAAGGCAGGCCGCACGGGTCTAGGCGCTGGATAGCGTGTCTGAAAGGGACCACCGGGTTTTGTAGCTCCGCCAGCTGAGGCGCCTTCTGAGCCTGACTCTCCGCGTGGCTCTCCTGAGAAGGAACGGCTTCCGTTCCAGCCACCGGGGCAGTCTTTGGTCGCTCTAGTGACCTCTTGGGACTGTGCGATACAAGTATGTCAGGAGACCTCGGGAGGGTCGACTCCACAGCCCCGGCTTTCGAAGATCCGCCCATTCGCAGATCCGGCCGGCCTGGACACGGCAAGTTAGCATACTTTGGAAAGTTCCATATTCGGCATGAAATCTGCTACCTCAATCGTTCTAACTTCTGACTCGTAGTTTGCGATTGTGTGAGGTGACGTTGCGCTGTGCGAGTGACAGAAGCCCCCAAGAATCAGAGGCGCCTTCTTGACGCTCCAAAGACTCCAGAGCCAGCGTCAGATCCCGGAGGGACAGCAGATTTCCACCGTCTCGATCCCGGACGATCACTTGAAGCAGGTCCCGTACACCTTCGTCGTCCAGCTCGAAGCCGAGATCGTTAAGCATTCTATGGAATTCAGCAGGGGTCAACTTGTCATCCCCGTTAGAGTCATACGGACGGAACAAAGTAGACAGAGACGCATGCCTGCGGTACTTCACATGGCTCAAAGCAATCAGCACCTCTGTGGTGGATGGCTTCATTGCTTGAAAAAGCTCGAACAAGCTGACCTGACCGTTGTGGTTGGTATCAATATGCCTCCACACTTCGTACACGAGCTCCTCATCTGCGTTGATTCCAACCTTGGCGACTTCAAGCTCGAAGATCCACAACATGTCTTGCAGAGAAATTACATCAGCGATGTGGAGGTTTGCTCTCAACTTATCACTGCCCAAGTTATGGGAGCACGCTCTCACGACTACTTCTGTTTTTCACGCGTTTGGTGGTGTGCTTGGAATACCTACAATGTCACCCACGACTCTTGTTTCTTGCTAGGCTTTCCTTTCCCATTGAACCCCAGTCTATGGAGTCTACTAGCATCTAAGAAGCAGCGGCAAACACCTTTCCCAACTCCACGGCAGTCAAGCGCCCATCGCCGTTCACATCACCCAGTGCTTGCAACTCTGCGATGCCCAAACCGCGCTTTAACCTAACGGCTCGCAGCTTTGCTAGCAAAGCTTCAGGAGATCTGAGCGGTGAGGTTGCAGCAGGCAATGCTGGCCGAAAATCGTCCAGCTCGCCCTCGAAGTCTCCGAGAACTTCCTCCAGAAGACCAGGGACACGGCCGCGGGAATCCGCCGATGCGGCTGGGAGTCGGGGCGCAAGTCGAGTCCGATTGGAGTCTTCCGCTGACCCCACCACTGCCTGCGTTTCATCCGCATCAAGCGACCGGTCCGAATTGCAAAGACATCGACAACAGCACTTAGTCGCAAGATTATCAGCTGGCCTGGCCTGAGCTGCTGCAGCCTGGCCTTCTCGACCAGCGCCAGCGCTGGCGTGACGAATCTCATGAAGAACTCTGTCCACAAGCACGCTATCCGCTGCGATCCCAAGGCTCTGAAGCAAAGTGCTCACCCGGTCTGGTGTAAGAGCCTGGTCATGGCCAACTTTCTCTTGAGACGGGGTAGTCTGTGAATTCCTCGAAGGTCTTGCCTGTGAGGCAGCCGCGCCTCCTGACAGGGTCTGAACACGAGATGGGTCCAACAAGACAGCCTCCAAAGAATTCTACAACGGAAAATCTGATGCTTCGACGATTCCAGCTCCTGGCTTGCGTCTGCCGACTTGCTTGCCGCCTTTGCTCGTCAAACCCCTTGCCGGACGCTGTGGTGCGTCTTTGCCAACAACACAAAGATCCGGGGACAAACCGCGTGCCGGGCGATCCACTGGTCTCTCCGGGGTGCGAAATCGTACTCCAGCGCCGCGCGGCTGCGGACCAGCACTTTGGTGCGAGCGCATCCGCAGCAGCTTTGCCAGCCAGGCCAAGCCGGCAGACTGCTGGCATCCATGTGCTGTTCTGCGAGGTTGTGCACTAGGGCATCTAGTATCTCAGTGTATCTCCCGATTGGCAATGAGTCTCTGATGGCTGAACGAAGAGGGATGCTTTCCTGACATCCTCTGTTTGTATCTTGAGCCGAGATACGAGAAGAGGCGCTGTTTGAAACTGTGTTCGCGAACGATCCATCACGGTGAGTAACGGCCAACAAGATCAACTATCAGATTTTGGGCAAGTCTGGCAGCCGAAGCTCTCCCAAACCGGAGATGACATGACTGGAGAGATAGCAAGAGATGGCTGAGCAGGGGATGCCTTTCACGTACAACGTTGTGAAGTGGAAGGTGTGCCCTGGCGTCAGAAGCATCTACCCAATCAGTTTGCTGACGACTTTGGTCTGGAAGATCTTGTTCGGGAGTCGTCGAATCTTGGGCGGCGCCACTGCGTTTACTCTCGCCACCTCTCCGGTCCATCGTGTTCGGGATCTGTGAAGGAAGGGCGCAAGGAGAGGCAGCAAACGCCGGATGACAAGCAGGCACCTTGGTCATACAAACCTCACCTTCCTGGACCATTCATGTCCGACTCCTGCACACACTCTCGTCCCCGCCTGGCATGGCATAGTGTCCTTTCCAACAACATCTTAGCTGTCTCCCTATGTTGCAGGTGGCACTCCGTTCAAAGCGAGGGAATGTAACGCAATCGCAGATCCCGCGTCAGCTGGCTGCAATTGCTCCAGCGCAGCACGGAGGTCTGATGGTAACGGCTGCACGACTTGCAGTCGCCTCGGAGGCTCTAGTCCTTGAAACTTAAGTTTGTAGCGATGTAGGAAATTTCGAGGACACCACTGAAGGTCTTGTCGAAACGTTCGGTTGCTGGTATACTTGCCATCAGAAACGGTTGGGTGGCCAATATGTGCAGCATGCGCCTTCGCACGCACACAAAAAACCAACAACATACCTACAATGACTTGACTTACATGTAGCCTCTTACATGAAGCATTGACTGACAGCGTAGGACAAAGATTACACTGAAGACAATTTCCAATCGGACCGTAAACAAAAAAACATGCTTGAATGTGGCACGCGGCCCGAATTTGATGTGTTCGGCCGGTGCCAATCCGGACAGCTAGCAATGTGTACCATTCGCTTGCACGATGAACATGTGCCACCACTCTGATGTTGGTTACAGACGGCTTCCCTCCACTGGTCACTTGGCTAGGCGCAGGGTGGCCTGGTGTCCAATGTATGGGTGTCGCAACAGTGCGCCTCGCTTGGGATACCCACCCATGGCACAAAACCACATAGTCCCTCACAATTCGATTGGCGTTTAACTGAACCAAAAGCCAGTAATAAGCCTCATACGTCTTGGCAACAAGAATGAGTCCGGATCCTGGGATGTCCAAACGATGCAAGAATCCAAAGTGATGCGATCTGTCGAACCATATCGCTGAAGGCCGGGCCAAGGATATCAAGAACCATTTCAGCTGAAACAAATGGTCATCCAACGGATCATCCAATGGCGGCTCAGTATGCAGTGTGTGGCGCTCCACTTCCCAGCCGGGTGGCTTTGCCAGGACAATAATGTCCAACAGTTCCGCGGCAATGACCGGCTCGCCATGGTCAAACTTTCCAGCATTAGTGGCAGCAACGCCCAGTGGCAAGATCCGGTGCAACTGAGTATCTCTTTTTGTGTCCAGTTTCTTTCCACGGCTCACCAGGTAGTGACGCACTCTCCGAAACAAAGCAAAATGCCTCACACCTGCGAAGGACAAGCCCCAGAGCATTGCCAGCATGCTGGCTTGGTCAGCTTCTTCGTGTTCTCTTCTCACAAACTCATTGGCAATTGAACTCAAGGCAGATGTTTTCTTCATGGCGGCAAAGGACCAACAAAGATTTGCAAGTTCTTGTGTGTTGAATTCCGTCGTTCGGGCAGTTGTCGCGTGCATAGCAGCAGTCCAGAATGGTGCAACACTGCAGCCGTTATACGATCCATCGCAACCGACTCGAGCGAAGGCCAACACCAAATTTGAAATGTTTTGGGAGTTGAAGCTGTCGACATTGCCAGTGAAAGCGGAAGCAATCAATTTAATCGGAATGTGCTTCAATACACGAAGCCGCATCATGGCCCACGCAGTGTTGGACAGCTCTTGCGGGTTACAGTTTCCTAGCTCGAGGACCGTAGACACAGGTTGAATCCACTGATCTGCAATGCTGCTGCATGACCTCGGATTGCATGGATTCGTGAAATAATTTTCAAACTCGCGCCGCTGTGAAATCAAGGGTAGCAGATCAACCTTTCTGCAGGCAAGGGTCAAAATGGCAAGCGACCACACTACATTGGCTACGCACTGCCCAGTTAGTTCTTGCGATGCAGACAAAAGCATCTCGGAAGCCTGCGCCAGCAGTGAAGGTGCCTTCGCATGCCCGAATGACTTCTCATGCGCAAGTCTGCATCTTTGTTTTTGCAGCCCGTGGCTCGAACTTACTTATCGCTGAACAACGACTGCTTGTGCATCTCAGCAGCGACACTTACATGGAGACGTGCAAACGACCAAACCAGTCCCACCAATTCGATAGTGGCAAAAGTAGGCCCTCGAACATCCATGAGATCCAGGACATCACGGAGGAAGGGCTTGTGTGCAAAACGAGCGTGCCCCAAAGACCACATCATGTTTGCAAGATGCTGGGGCTGCAATTCCATCATCCTTTCTCTCGCAATCATCACCAACATCGAGAGTAATGTGATGTCACCTGATCCGATGTGAGACACAAACAGACGTGCCACAGCACAGGACAGGTTTGATAGCTCTTGCGGCCCAAACTGGCCTTCTCGCAATCTCTGTGCCCCAACTCGCTCCACCAAATGGAAGTCTTGCATTTTGGCGTTCTCGGGCAGCCCTAACTTGGCCACCGCCCATAACGTAATGCTGAATTCATGTGGCTTGAAGAAAGCAAGGTTCTTTACGATGGCAGCCCAAAACCAAGCTGATATGCTAAGCTGGCCATGCCAAGAGCTGTGCACGCGAGCGAATGCCCAAGCCAAGTTGGCCAATTGCTGACCCGAAAACCCTGCCAATTTGGACACATCACATGTGCGTGATATTGCAAAAAATAGTGGGGCATCTACATGCTGCGCGAAAGCGCAAGCCCAACACATGCCTGCCAGATCCCTTGGGCTGAGTGCAGGCATGAGCGGTGCCACTTGCAGCACCATGTGTGTCGCGAGATCTCCTGTGAAAACGTGTGACTTCGCCATCACCCAAAAAACATTGCCGACTCCGCTGGATTTCCTTTGCAACGCACTGGGCGCATCTCTCTGTAAGCGTTGCATGCTTTCCTTCGCGAGATGTGAGAGCACTTTGTTGTCCTGAGCCCGAAGAATGCCGACGGCCCACAAGGTGCACTGCAACTCATGGTCCGTAAACTGTGCGGCGCGAAACTGACAAGCGTAGATCAGGTTCTGAAGAAACTCGTGGCTGATGTTGTGCCCCAGATGTGCTCGTTTAGCCACTGTCCATGCGCAATGTGCCAACTGAGTTGCCGAAGGCTTTCGGGGCGAGCAGCATGCAACCAGCACATCTGTTGTCCAACTCTCGTAACCATGAAGGGCTAGCGCTTGCCGTCGCCATCTTGAGTTCATGCATTCGGCCGCAAGCAGAACCGTTGCCTTCGGTATGAATCTCGCAATTGCTTCATGTTCACCAAGCTGGTGCTCGCTTGATCATGCTTGATCAGAATTGGGTTTATGACCGGCGCGGCTCGACTCTGCAACCGGCCAACAATGGCTCGTGCCATCGATGACCAACGAGCCTGTTCCACATTCCAAGCGCTGAAACACTCGCACATAACTTGGTTGTTCAGTTGTTGATCGAAATTGTAGAAAGTATCACATGGCTGCATCGCAAATGATGATTGATTGGGTTTGAGCCACTTTATGTCCATGTGGAATATATGGGTGGGTTCCTTTCCCAGAACTAGCAATTTATTCTGTTGCAGAAACTAGGCTCCTGTCTGTGTGTATGTGCGCAGGCCATGTGCCAATGCCGACGTCAATAGGGGGTGGACGCGTCTTCGCGGTTCAGTTCCTTGGTCCGCAACAAGTTTACACTATCAGTTTTACAAAGGAACATATTATCACAACAAGTGTAAAGTGTACTCATTCAGGTATTAAGCCATGGTCCACCAGCGAAGCTGTCAGCCGACAGGATTAAAAGCATGTGCGACCATGCGATTGCCAGAACGACGTGGACGACCACAGATACTTCCAACATTATGAGTTGCAATGCCTTGAACTCGGGTATTTCGTTTTGCTCTTTCGATTTGCGAGCGGCACCTGTGAGTAAAGGGGAAGGTCTGCGATGGTTTGTGGGCATTTCTTATCAACCATCTGCAGGCGCCTTGCCTATATTTTTTGGTCCAATCCAAGCTCACACCTGCCGCTAACAACTGCACCAACACTGATGGTCATCAATGAATATAATTGCAAAGGATGGCGTCAGTCCAGGGGTTGCAGTAGATGATAGTAGATGCAGTAGCAGGCCTTGCACAACGTCATGCATCAAAACGATAAACCAGCTCCAAGCTGCAACATAGCGGAGCCTGGCTTATGCAT